CAACCACGAATAGGAACTGGATTCATTGATTCTACATTGCCTCTTCACGCGCTGGGGGTTTCCCAATGTGGACCTGTTTGCAACCAGTGCCAACAAGAAGTGTCTACGTTACTGTTCACGTGCAGGCATTGGCAGGCACTCCCTTGGGGATGCGCTTGCAATACGATGGAATGTAATGCTCTCATATGCCTACCCATCCCCCTCATACACGATGCCATCCCCCTCATAAACCGAGTGGTCAGCAAAATAAGACTAGAATTACCTACAGTGATCCTTATCACCCCTGACTGGCCGAGACAGATGTGGTACACCTACCTTACTCAAATGTCCATGAAACAGCCATGGCGTCTCTCCCTTCTTTCTCACTTCCTAACACAGGAGAGGGGCACCTTGTACCATCCCAACCTCCAGTCACTCCAGCTTCATGCTTGGTTTCTCAATGGCTTACCTTGTTAGAGTGAACATGTTAGATGCAAGTAGAACAAATCTTACTCAACTGTCACAGAATATCAACCAGAAAATCCTACCTTTACAAATGGCATAGGGTCCTCACATGGACAGAATGTAGAAACTTGATACCAACCACAGCGCCTCTCAGCGTCATCCTGCAATATATGTTAGAGCTGAAAGACTCTGGTCTATTGCTCAGTTCTCTTAAGGTTCATCTCACCACCATAGCAGCACATCATGAACCTATCAATAATAAATAAATTTTTGCTTACCCTACCACCAAACAATTTCTGAGAGGCATACAGAATACTTACCCATCTCACAGGCCCCCTACGCTGGCCAGGGACTTAAACCTGGCCTTATGGGCCCTCACTATGAAGCCATTTGAACTTCTGGCAACAAGTTCCATGATTCATCTCTCCATGAAAGTGGCCTTGATCATAGCACTGACATTGCCCAGGAGAATCAGTGAAACTGGCACGCTCATGTCAAACCTGCCGTTCACCATATTTCATAAAGACAAAGTGGTGTTGCAAATTCTCACCCGAAATTTCTCCCAGTGGTTTCCTCACACTTTCACTGTAACAAACCCCTAATCTTACCTGTACTTTCCCCAAACCCTCACAAAAGTGCCAGGGAGGCTGTATTGCACTCACTTGATGCGAGACATGTGATTTCCTTCTACTTGGACAGAACTAAGCAATTTCACAGAACAAACAGACTGTTCGTTTCCACCACGGAGAGATTGCTCAGCATGTCTGTCTCCACTCAGAGGATATCTTGGTGGATAGTGGAATGTATTAGTTTAGCTTACACTACTAGTGGTCAGTAAACCCTATCGCACATCAAGGCCCATTCAACCAAGCCTACCTCCACTACCATGCCCTACATGCGTGGCATTCCCCTCGTGGACATTTGTAGGGTAGGCACGTGGTCCTCTGCCCACACATTTGCAAGGCACTATGCCCTCTAGGGGTACCCTTTTTGGCCACACTGCCCTCCTTACAGTACAAGATGCTCCCTAACTGAAGCACCCACCTCCTTCATGGGTACGGCTCATAGTTATCTAAGGTGGAGCACCCACAGAAACACTCCTCGAAGAAGAGTGTTACTCCCCTTGTGCAGTAACGGAGGTTCTTCTTCAAGTAGTGTCCCTGTGGGTGCTCCACTGTAGGTCTGTTTGACTCTTCCTGGTGCCGTAGATCAGAGATTTGAAGAGTAGTAGTCAGCCGGACCATGCATGTGCAGTTAGTATGTCGTGCCATTCGCACCATTCTCTTCACACGCGCAGTCTAGCTCCCGCTGGTTCCTTTGTTGCTGCCCTCGGTCGCAGAAGGAGCAAGCTCCTCTCCTCATCCTGTTTAGTCAGGAAACCAAAATTGTAGTTAGTGTTAATTTGTAGTTTTAGTCACAGTTAGTCTTATAGTTAGTTATTAAATCTTAGTTTGTTTTTTTTTAAAAAAGGACTGTTGTACTTTCGTTGACTGTTTAAAAAGAAAAAAAAGAAGAAAGAACAAGAAGAAGCAAGCAAAAGAGACCCCTTCCTTTTCTGTCTTTTTTGAGAGGGACACAGGTTTTTTCCCCCTCATACAACGTCGGCATCACCAGGCTTTAAGAAATGTGACTTCTGATGGGATCCTATGCTGGCATCGGATGGAAACTCCTCATGCATAAGGTGATTGAGAGAGGCACATGTGCCACAAAATGCCTGCATTGATCGAAGCTCCCTGCCAGAGCCCGCTGAGATAGAGAGATGCAACTTCGCATGCTCCTGTTTGACAAAGTGCTTCAGCAGCCAGACTCCGCATCATCCGTGGCTTCCTCTGACCCTCCTCGGCCCCAAAAATGAAGGGCCTCATTCCCAACTCCATGGTCTTGGTCAAAAAAGTGCACATCTCCGGCACACTCTCTACCATCAGTGCCTATAACTAGGGTCAGCACGGCGGACAAACCTGGTACGTCCAGCACCACCCCCACTAGACCAAAGGTACACTCAGACCCTAAGTCACATTCCACCCACACCATCAGCACTGGGACTGGTATCCGACTCACAGCGCCCAGCTCTGAAGTCATCACTGGCACTGGCAGCCCCTGACATCGGCACTGCAGTCCTTGGCACCAACACTTCCAACTGCATCGGCGCAGACTCTGCTTCCCTGCCCAGCACCGGATCTCCCAGTACTGAGGAAAGTGCATGCAAAGTCGGACAGGCTCGGTAGTCCTCTTTCTCCATTGCCAACTTTCTCGCCGGCACCATCCCCTTCACCACCGGCATGGAGGTTACCACCAATGTAACAAAAGTCTCCAGCCCGATTCCCTCAACACCAAGACAGGCTTTCCATTGGTGATCAAGGCAAATATCTTCTTCTCCCTCCCACCCCCTTCCAGAGGGTCAGTGATCCTCCACCATTCTCTGTTGTCGGTTGGGGAAGGCACACCAACGATATTAGAAGCCCTTACTCATCTCCAAGGTGTTCGTACCATGATCATCACAGGTACAAGCATGATCATCCATGCTATTGCTTAACCTACCGTCATCATCATCATCTCTCATACTATCAAAGCTGGTGGTCGCCCTGCTGTTACAGAACCTCTCATACACAATGATATGAACCATCTCCTTCGCCTACTCCTAGACATTGCAGTCCGTCCAGTATTCCCCCCTCTCCACCACACCATTCAAAACTGGAAGAGGGTCAATTATCAGAACCCGATGACCAACAGTCTGACACCTCTGATACTGACCATTCCTCGTCATCTCCAGACAAGGCTGTGACTCCAAGGGGCACAAACCCCCCTTGACGATCTCAAACAGTTCCAGGAGCTGTTTAAAAGGGTAGCAAACAGCTAGGAAGTACCGTTGACGGAATTCCAACAAAAACAGTACCGCCTTCTTAAGAACCTCCAGCCCTCACAACGGGCAAGAATAGCATTGCCCATACATGAAGCTATTATGGAGTCGGATGAAGAGATCTGGCAGACTCCAGCTTCTGCTCCATCCACTAACAAGAAATTGGACCAAAAATACTTTGTTCTGAACAAGGGTATGGAATTTCTGTTCGCACACCCGCAACCCAACTTCTTGGTCATGGATGCAGCCCAACATAGATCAAAGACTGTACAGTAGAAGAACGTGGTAACGGAGAAAGAGAGTAAACGTTTAGACCTGTTTGGAAAATTATATACTCTTCAGCAACGCTATTGTTACGCATTGCCAGTTATGTGGCGTTGTTGTCAAAGCACAATTTTGACAACTATTCTAAACGTACAGCTCTCATGGAACACCTGCCAGACACCAAGAAACCCATCCTAAAATCAATAGTACAGGAGGGTTATACAGCGGCTAGAATGGGGATCACAATGGATGAGAAGCTGGATATGAGTCAACAGTGTGCCCTTGTAGCCAAGAAGGCTAATGGCATATTGGACTGCATTAGGAGGAGCATTGCCAGCAGAACTATAGAAGTGAGTTGTTCCCCTTATTCGGTTCTGGTGTGGCCACATCTGGAGAATTGTGTCCAGTTCTGGGCCCCTCACTATAGAAAGGATGTGAACGCATTGGAGAGGGTCCAGCGGAAGGCAACCAAAATGATTAGGGGACTGGAGCACATGACCTATGAGGAGAGACTGAAGGATTTGGGTTTGTTTAGTCTGCAGAAGAGAAGAGAGAGGGTATGTCTACACTACAGCGCTAATTCGAACTAACTAATTCGAACTAACGCATCTAGAACTAAAAACTAGTTTGAATTAGCGTTTTGCTAATTCGAACTAGTGCGTCCACACTGATTGGACGCAGGGGCGCATTTAAGGGCGGCTGAAACCAGTTCCGGCAGGCCATCAGGTCATTAGTTGCGTTGTGTGGCTGCTGTCTGAGGCTATCTGAGGCTCGGGCTTAAAGGGACCCCCCCGGACAGCCGGTTCTCAGCTTTTCCTGCTTGCTTGCCAACCTCGCCGAGGGACAGCAAAGCGTTGGTCTCTGTGCCCGTCTGTGTCGGTGCTTCCCTTCGGGGATGCCACCGCAGGTGGCAACATGGAGCCAGAGCACCTTCTGTTGCACTTTCTGGCCTTGCTGCTGCAAGCCTGCCAGCAATGGCTCGAGGCTGCCTGGCACCACCTGGTGCACGTCAGCCCCCTGCCTCTCCACCTGGCCGCCCTGGGGGCCGTGGAGGATCCGCGGCGGCGCCCCGGCACCGGCGTGCCCCGCCGCATCTGGCGTCTGGACACCAGCAGCGACTGGTGGGACCGCATCGTCCTGGAGCGCTGGGAAGACCCACAGTGGACCCAGAACTTCAGGATGAGGAGGGACACCTTCCTGGAGCTCTGCGAGTGGCTCGCCTCTGCTCTGCGCAGAAGGGACACTCGCATGAGGCCTGCCATTCCCCTCCAGAAGCGGGGGGCCATCGCCCTCTGGAAGCTCTCCACGCCGGACACCTACCGATCCGTCGGGACCCAGTTAGGCGTGGGGAGATCCACCGTCGGAGCGATGCTCATGCAGGTATGGCAGTCGTCGGCCACTGCGCCAGGGGGAAGGGGGGCTGCAAGGAGGGGAGGGGCCGCCCCAGGGACAAAGGGGGGGTGGGAGGAGGCGAAAGCACACCGGAGGGGTTGGTCTGTCTCGGCCGTACTACACGCCGCCAGGGGGGTTCCTTCTGGGAGTGGGGCGCGGGGCACTGCCAGGGCACGAATGCTCCCAGCCACCCGGGCGCCCCACTGATTGGCACTTTGCTGTGTCTCTCTCCGCAGGTGGTCAAGGCCATGAACCGGGTTCGTCACCGCAGGGTGGTCCGCCTCGCCAACCCGGATGCCGTCATCCGGGGATTCGGCGCCCTCGGCTTCCCCAACTGCGGGGGGGCCATCGACGGGACGCACATCCCCATCCATGCCCCGGAACACCAGGCGTCCTGTTACGTGAACCGCAAGGGGTACTTCTCCATCCTCCTGAAGGCCGTGTGTGACCGCTGGGGACAGTTCACGGATATTAATGTGGGCTGGTCCGGCAAAGCACACGACGCCCAGGTGTACCGCAACTCCTCCGTGTGACAGCGGCTGCAGGACGGGACCTTCTTCCCCAACCGCCACAT